AAAAGCCGAAGGGCTTCAAAAAACCGCCAGAAGCTGCCCGCTAAAGCCGAAAGCTGTCAGAATCATCCGAGAGCCACTGAGAGTCTCCGGTTAAACCCAAAAGTTGCCAAAAGGTTTCAAAAGGTGCCGGGAATCTCCTTCACTTGCTGTCCAAATCGAACCGCGTGGGTCAACTCCTTCTAACCCCTTCCGAAAGCTCTCTCTTTGAACTGGATCACCTTCAAAATGCTCTCTTCCCTCCGGATTCCCCCGAAAAAGCCTTCAATTGCCACCGGGTCCCCCTGAGAAGCCTTCTTCCCTCCGGATCCCCCCGAAAAAGCCTTCAATTGTCACCAGGTCCCCCCGAGAAGCCTTCTTCCCTCTGGATCCCCCCGAAAAAGCCTTCAATTGCCACCAGGTCCACCCGAGAAGCCTTTTTCCCTCCGGATCCCCCCGAAAAGCCTTCAGTTGTCACCGGGTCCCCCCGAGAAGCCTTCTTCCCTCCAGATCCCCCCAGAAAGCCTTCAATTCTACCTAAAACCACCCATGGTTCTCCACTCTGGGAAGTATTTCACTCTTGCCTCACAAAAACCACTTCGTCCCTTCACCAGCCTGTAGAACCGCAGGTACTCCCTATTCGCTCTGTATTTTCAGACACACCTCAGTCGTACAAACTCACACTCCCTGATTCCCCCCCACCGCCCGATATTTCGGGGAAATCTCCCCTATCTTACCGAGTTGCGTATACAAAGTTTGATGGTTGCCGTGGATTGATTTTTTTATACCGGGTCCGTTTTTTCCCTTTCTTTGTTTCACGCCGTTCGTCCTAGGATCCTCTGTTGCAGCCATCCCAGGAGAGGGCACAGATCTCTGGACCGCCGAAATCGGCAGGGCGCGCCTTCCAGGTTCACTGGTCCCCCACCCGGACCGGCGGACGTGATCTCCCAGACAACCTCCAAATTGTGAGAAATATCTCAAATTAAAATTTTGAAGACGGCCAAATAAAGTGAAACAAAGAACTTTTATTTTCAGCGTGCGTTGGGTGCGGTCAGGTTTGTCTCGTGCCAGGGCCTGAGAGCACACCTGAGATGGGCGGGGCAGTTCTTTTTAAGGTCTCTTGATTTGCATAACTGTTCCCTCGTTCCTCCCATGCTCAGCTCTGCTCCCTTTCTTCCTTAAAAGGTAATATAGTCTTTTTCTTGAGTCTGATTGGGTCTCTCAGGGCGGGCTCACATTTTTCCAGTCCATTGGTTGTTTTAACCAACCTATCAGACTGTTTCCCTGTCCTGGCCGCGTGGTCCCTTGGCAATGGGCCCTGGCTGGTCTCATTGCCTTACAGGCTTCCCGGTTCACCTTCACACAGCAATAGCAAGCAACAGTAACATGATCACAACTATTAACAGGTCATGGCTGCAACAGAACTGCAGCCACAGGAACTGCAAAACACCCCTGATCACAAAAACTCCTCACCACGAGGCAATCATGGAAACCCTGTTTGTAATAAAACCGTTTCATTTATTACTCACACCATGACTGGGTTTTAAAACAGGGTCCTATTGATCACTGAACCACAGTGTTATAGGTTACCAGCGATGCCTGGAATAAATAGGTGAATTTATAATAACAAGTAAATTTATTAGCAAACAATAGGTAAGCAATGCCGGGCCACACGTATCCGAGGTTGCCCCCTCCCAAAACAACCCCCCTCACAGCCCAGCCGTGGGGATCAGCGGAGCGCAAGGGAACCCCTAAAACGACCTTCCCCCCCTAAACGTTCCAGACGGGAAAGTGACTGCGAGCCCGGACGCTGCAGTCCCAACACAAAGGCGTCATGCAAACCTCAGCAGCCCAACAAAGCTATCTCAGAGACATAGCCCAAGAAAAGTCCCCCCAATGTGTGCAGGAGAGAGACAGCTTAGTTTATCACAACAACACAATACCTTGCACCAACACGACTTCAAGCAAGGGTGAGCTATACAGGAGAGGTCTTAGAGAGTGTCCTCTTTCTCTTTCAACCATGCAAAGCCAATCCAAAAACCCCTAGCAAATGATTGCCTAAAAGGAAAAAAAGACTCCAGGCCAAATTAGGTAGGAGGTAAGATAAGGATACAAAAGGCTTTAATGAGCCCCCAGGCTTCCAGGAATACCACCACCGTGCTCTTGAATACAGGTGTTTACAATTTTTATAATGATTTTCACCCAATCCCCGTCTGGCCACTGCCCAGGTTCTACCTCCCAACACGCCTTTTGGGAATTGAGTCTGGGGGTGTTTTGGGACTCCCTCTTCTTCATCTTCCTCAGAGCACGTACTGATCTTGGAGGCCTTCCAGAGCTCTAGGCCTGAAGGTTGTTGCGTCTATGGTTCTATCTTCTTGTGCAGATTTTAGGGTGTTTTCTACAATTCTACCTTGAAAATGAGACTAAACAGGTTAATGGAATTTAGGGGAATTGATATGGGAATGGGTAACAGGGTTTGCTATGTGTATTTACTGTGTTAAAGGGTAAGGGATAATGTGCTGCTACTTTAAAATCTACATTCACTATATCTACTTCTAAAATCTACACAATTTAAAAAAAAATCAAAACTCTAAGGCATCAAATCCAGGCAGTGGTGCAGCCCGTGGCTGCTGTACCTCCCTTGCTTTACAGGAGTCATGGGGGAGCATTCACAGCCCCCCTTAACTGAGGACAGACCAGTCAAACTGCATCCGCCCGGGCGAAATGCCAAGTGAAGAAAAACTTCACGAAACAGACCCACACTCTGGCCGACCTAGCCACTTCTGGGTCATGTTTTTGCCCACGGACTGGGAAAAACAACCAACTTTCACAACACCCAGGGATCCTAACAAGAAAGTCACCCCCCAGTCCTAACCAAGTACTCCCAATTTCCGGAAAAAAACACTTTATATTTGCTAGCAAAATTAACTAAAACAAGCTGCTCTTTAGCTTACCTCTGTGAAGTTCCCAGGAGCTGGGCTTCTCAGAATCGGTGTGTGGTGTAATAGAAGGGTTAACTTTGTTCATAAAATCTTATGTGTATGAGGGAATAAGGAACTTTTGTTATAATTCAACAAGATAAGTTTCATGGACATCCTGTTAATTAAGCAAGTGTCAGTAAAAATAATTTCAGACATCTTGCTAAACAAACAAGTATCAGGATTGGTAAAATTTACAGCTGATAAGAACTGCAGTTTTCATCTTTGACAAATCCCAGATGACCACTTAGCAATGAACCACAAACTCAAGCCTCAACGCAGCCACATTCAAAACTCGGGACTTGGAAATGCATAAAAAGGAACATTCACTACATTTTCAGTGTGTGTCTCGGGTGGGGCAACTGCCCCCCAGGCCACCCAGCGCTGTTTTGCTTTATTATCGCTTGCTTAATAAATTTATCAATGTTTAATTGGAATTGAGTTGTCTAAATTCTTATACTAACTTATAAGATGTGGGAAATAAAAAACCGGTTTTATTATAAACAAATAGAATGGACAAGGAATGCTAACAACAAGTTATTTTTTTATTTATTTTTCTTATTACTAACTTACAGGCGTTCCGTGAAAGTTGTAAGACATACAGTTCAGTCTTGGAATGTATGTCAGGAACTGGGCGGACGGGAATAGGAAAACTGTAAAATGAATATTGGTAAGGAAACCCCTCGTGCCACATGGTAGGCCCTGGGGGCTGCCATGTTGTTGGACACTCTACCTCCCAGCATGACATGGCCAACCAGAAAGAAGGAAACGCCTCTTCTGTTACGTAAATGAGGTTGGACCTTAAGAATGTTTAAAAAGCGGGACTTTTGAATTGGAAGGTGTGTTCTTAGGAATCCTGCGTGACTAGGACACCCGACACGTGTCGTTTTTCTCCTTTTCGTTATTTTCCTTTTGTTTTGCAAACTTTTGCTGTTGTTCTAAATCTAATAAATAAGATTTTTTTCACAATTTTGGGGGCTTGTCAGGGATGACTACCCGCCGACCACGACTGGAGGCCAGAAGAAAACTGCAGGAGTGGCCGCAGGCGGAGCGGGCAGGGCAGGGCAAGCAGTGGTTGAAGTTAGAGCTAACACCGGGGAATCTGCCAGTGCTCAGCAGGGTGTCAGGCTCCCACGGTGAGTGGTGGCGCGGGGTCGGCAGTGTGGCTGCCACTGGGAATGGCGACGGGCACTGGCGTGGTGCTGCACGGAGGAGAAAGGGTCCTGGTCTTAGAGCACGGGCGGGGCCGGGGCGGTCCTGTGACTGGAGACAGGCCGGTCTCGGGGGGGTCAAGAGAGCAGCCCGGAGGCAGCCAGGGTGACGGTGGCTGTGGGGGCCGCAGGGCAGGGCCGGGGTAGCAGAGGCTGGTACCGAGAACACAGTGGGGACACAGCCCAGGGGTATCAAATATGTCGAGGGCAACTCGGGAACGGCCAGAGTGGTGGCAGCCGGGGCGGTGCTGGAGGGGGGCAGCCCCAGGAGGCGGGCCGTGCCAGGGGCGGGCAGCGCCAGGAAGCGGAACTGAAGGCGGTGTCAGGCCAAGTAGGCGGCGCCAAGACGGGCATCAGCGGGGGCGGTTCCCCCGAGCCAGGGGGCAGCCATGAGAATAGCCCCGTGCAGGAGTGAAAGCGCGGGGTTGAACCCTGATGCTCGAGCGAGCGGTGATGGGTTGCCAGCCATCTGCGGGGGTTTGCAAGGAGGCGAGGAAGTTCCAGTTGCGTGACATGGGAGCCCAAGAAACCTCAGTCACTTGACACTTGCTGGTGAACGGGGCTGCATCCAGCTGGCGATCGGTAACCAGTGGTGTTCCCCAGGGATCAGTACTGGGCCCAGTCCTGTTAAACATCTTTACTGATGATCTGGATGAGGGGATTGAGTGTACCATTAGCAAATTTGCAGGCGACATCAAGTTGGGAGGGAGTGTGGACCTGCTGGAAGGCAGGAGGGCTCTGCCTAGATAGGCTGGAGAGTTGGGCTGATTCCAATGGGATGAAGTTCAACAAGGCCAAGTGAAAGGTCCTGCACTTTGGCCACAACAACCCCCTGCAGCACTTCAGGCTGGGGACAGAGTGGCTGGAGAGTAGCCAGGTGGAAAGGGATCTTGGGGTGCTGATTGACAGGAAACTAAACATGAACCAGAGTGTGCCCAGGTGGCCAAGAAGGCCAATGTCATCCTGGTCTGTATCAAGAACAGTGTGGCCAGCAGGACCAGAGAAGTGATCCTTCCCCTGTACTCAGCACTGGTGAGGTCACACCTTGAGAATTGTGTTCAGTTCTGGACCCCTCAGTTCAGGAAAGACATTGAGGTGCTGGAGCAGGTCCAGAGAAGAGCAACGAGGCTGTGGAAGGGCCTGGAGCACAAGTCTTATGAGGAAAGGCTGAGGGAGCTGGGGTTGTTTAGTCTGGAGAAGAGAAGGCTCAGGGGTGACCTCATCACTCTCTACAACTACCTGTGAGGAGGTTGTAGCCAAGTGGGGATTGGTCTCTTCTCCCAGGCAATCAGCAGCAGGACAAGAGGGCACGGGCTTAAGCTCTGCTAGGGGAGGTTTAGGTTGGATATTAGAAAGAAGTTCTTTACAGAGAGAGTGATCAGGCATTGGAATGGCCTGCCCAGAGAGGTGGTGGATTCACTGCCCCTGGAGGTTTTTAAGAAGAGGCTGGATGTGGCACTGAGTGCCATGATCTCGTAATCACAGTGGGGTTGGATCAAGAGTTAGACTTAATGATCTCGAAGGTCTCTTCCAACCCAGTTAATTCTATGATTCTATGATTCTGTGACACAGAAGTTCCAAGTTTTTCCTGCTCGGCGCCGACGGGAGGGGGGCGCATAGCCCTGCTGAAGTGGCAAGGGGAGAGTTCCTTGTTGGAGCGGTGGCAGGGAAGCCCTGACTACCTGTGGGAGAGTCCTGAGTGGGGGCAGGGCTCGCCTCTACTAAAGCAGCGCTGGAGAAGAGGAAGGGTGTAGCCCTGCCAGAACGGCCGCAGAGAGCCCGTTTCAGGTCAGTCTAATATATTCATTTTTGCCTAAAAAGGTTTTTCCTCTGAAAAGGGGGATGTTCCCTTCCTCCCAATTGGCTGCAAGGCATCCCCTGTCAAAATGATGGATCCTCCTTTGTTCTCAGCCCATGGAGAGAGACCCCTGTGCTCAAAAATGACCAAAAAGGTTTTCATTTTTAGGAGCTTTATATTTGCCTAAAAATTCCCTATCGTGGCTGCAAGGAGCCCTGGCACCAGGCCCAAGCAGGATTGGGTACCTTACAACTTTGTGATACGCCTATAAGTTTGCTAAAATTTGTTTGTAATAAAAAACATATTTTTATTTCTCATAACAATTAACATTGACCAGGACGTCAGTAAAAATAGTCCTTGGACGTTTAATATAATGTAATGTTTTAAAAACAATTTTTAAATTTACCCAGTATGTATTGTATCTTCAAATTTTAAGAAGGAGCCTTTCATTTATGCAAACAAAAGCTATACCTATGTTTCTTTTAACTAAAGTATTTTTTTCTCCAAATAAATTTATTAAATTTTTCTGCACAACACAGTACTGCATCCTGCTATTTTGCCTATGGTGCCTTCGAGTTACTACAAATACTTAACAAAATATACATAATGTAAATACTGCCAGAAGATCAATAAGGCAAAATATTCTTTCTATTCACTTTTTACTGCACTTGCTTTCTATTGATATTTAAGCCTCTTTTATCCTGCTTTGTAACACTTATGATGTTGTAGCTAATGTAAATGTTTACTTTTAATAAATTCAAGTATGTTCAAGAGACTCTGCATTTGGGCATTATTTTGAGAACTCAGAAGTTAAAACAGTGATCTAAGAATTAAACTGAGTCTGAAGCAGTTTTATGACTTTTGATAATCTTAACAATATCTAAATGTTATGCCATGCTTTTACACATATTATTTGAGCAAAATTTTTCTGCACTGATCTTTTTAGAAATGCTTAGATGAACTGCAAAATCAGTTTTCCATGCTGGTTTTATCTGAATGGGTTACATGACCAGTTCAAAATAGAGATAATGGAATTAAAGCAATATTCTGCAAATACAGTATCATATAAAATGCATAATAATGTTTCAAGATGAATTTTATAAATGCTTTTAAATGTCCTCTGCCTTTCTTTTTCTGTAGAATGGCTTTTGTCATAAACCCAGAAACTATATGAAGAACTGTGTAATACTTTATTATGGGCATGCACATCTGCAGCTCATAAAATATGCAGACAATTGTGGGACTGGTTATAAATTCAAGGAGTGTACATTTTTTTCCCTGCCTATGAGTTAATTTTATTTTTATGGTGGATATTAGCTTGTATATTTTGAAAGTTTTAGCTTTTTCTTGGTAAATGTTATTATTTTTTGTATTGCAGATTTTGGATTAAAAAAATTAAAGAGATACTATTATTTTGAATACTGATAAGTACATATATATAACTTTTGGAAAAAAGAAAATATACATTGCAGTTACTCTAAACAACTGATAATTTGACTCTGATTGGAGTCTACAGGCTGGAGCTTGAATTCCATGATGGAAGAGACAGGCCATATTTTAGGGACCTTTAAGGTTGGAAGAAACAGTGACTTCCAACCTTGCAAGCCAAGAGTTGCGGTTGAGTTAGGGTTAGGGTTAAGGGGCTTAGGGTTAGGGTTAGTGAGGGTTAGGGGGCTTAGGGTTAGGGTTGGGAAGGGGCCCTGGCCACTCCACTCCAAACCAGCCCTGGCCAGAGTCACGGAGCTCCCCTTCCTCCCACACCCACACCAAGGTCATGGTCTTTTATAGCTGCTTCTTCACTTTATTTTAACTTCTTTGGCAGCAATCTTGCAACTTTCCGCCAGTGATCGGCATCTCCCAGAACTCATCCCGATGGCTCGGCCCATGCTGCTGTCGCTTCCTCCCAGGACAGCCAGTGTCTGAGCTTGCCCCTGAAGTTTGGGAACTTCTTTGCTCAGTGAGGAGCCCCAGGGCATCTGGCCAGCACCAGGCAGAGCCAGCCCCGGGGGAGGGCAGAGCAGGATGATCAGGAGGGTAAATGCAGCCCTTTCGGATCAGCGCTGCTCCCCAAGGTCACCAGGGCTGTTCCTGTTTTCCTGCCCAGTTAGAGGAGAAAATCAGCGACTGCAGAGAGGATTAAAAAGAACAGAATTAAAAGACTATTCTTGTTGCCATTTGGATGCCAGTCCATACTAATAAAACCAGGCTTAATTTGGAACATACACAATTTAGCAGTTTTTTCAGGACACAATATTTAACAGTTCCCTTTCAGGAGACAATGTGAAAAGGGGGGAGAACGGGAGAAAAGAGGGGGCTGGGACCTCCAAACTGAGTGGGGAAGGGGCTGAGACTCTGAAACCGAGCAGGGCAGGGGGGAAGAAACACCCCCAAACCGAACTGGGGATTGTGGGGACAATGGGAAAGGGGTGAGAGGAGAAAAGGGGTGTTGAACAGTGGGCAGGGGAACAGAGGGCAAGAAGTTCCCACAGGGGTCCCCCTGTCCCCCATCACTTGAGCCCTGAAACAGTTCCCTGGGGCTCTGGGGGGAAAGGGGGGCATATCCACACTGGGGAGTTCCCCAATTTCTCTGTCCATCCCTGGGGGGCTGATGGGGGGGTTCTGTCCCCCCCCCCCATCAGCCAGTGCTGCAGGAGCTGTGGGGGAGAGAGGAAGGAGGGTCCAGGGTGGGTCTTTCCTCCTCAGAGCACCGTGGGCTGGCTTTGGAGCCCCTCTTCCTGGGGGATTTCCGTGGCTTTTTCTCTCCGCTGCCTTCCTGCGTCGTGGAGCCATTCAAAACGGTCTCTTCCACGAGGTTCTGCCAGGGGGATTTGTCCTCCGTGCTCTCTGTCCTCAGTTCGGGGCCTGGGGCAGGAAGGAAAAAGGACAGGGAGGGAATTTGCCTCCATGCTAGAGGGAAGGAGAAGGAGACCCCCCAAATCCGTCACCAGCAGGATGACGTCGGCAGCGGGGTTGTCCTGCAGCCGGGGGCGATGCTTGGCTGGAAGATGCAGGACAAGAGAGAGGGAAAGGGGCACTGACTTCCTCCTCACCTGCCTGGGTGTTCCGGGGCATCTTCCTCTTCCTCGCAGACTCCTCCTGGACCCCCACCTGTGCCACTCCCTCGTCCCCAGCGCTCCCTGGGACGGAAATTTGGGGAGTGGGGAGGTGGGGAGCAGCCAGGCCGAGTCCCCCTGCTCTGTCCTGGCGGTGGCGTCTGCGATGGGGGCTGAGTGCGGGCGGGAGCTCGGGGGGCCCGGCCCTGCCTGGAGACGGTTGATGCCGCCTGCCCACACCTCTCACTGGGCTGGACTGGTGCTCCCAGTGCTGCTCGGGGTGGGGCCGCTTTTGGGGTTTCCCCGGCACAACCCGGCTGTTTTTGGGGTGTTAGCACGTGCCCGACACTGGAGATGGGACGTGCGGGGGGAGCTGGGGCCATACTGGTGGTATTGGGAGCCCTGATGGCTGTGGGCAAGGGGAACTTGGTAGAGCAGGGTCAGGGAAAAGGGGGAGGGTAGTGGGAAGTGGGTGGGAGAGAGGGGAAAAGGAAGAGCTTTGGACCCTCAAACTGAGCAGGAGGGGACTGAGACCCCAAATCCAAACAGCGTGGAGGGGACACCCCCAAACCGAGCTACGGGGGGAGCTGGGGATTTTGGGGACAATCAGAAAAAGGTGGGACAGTGGACAGGGACATCCCGTGGGGGTCCTGTAGCAGGATGCTCTGCCTAGAATGGGGTAAAACAACTCCAACAAGGCCCTGTTTGCAGAGCCCCCAGTGAGAAATTAAGAAGGGGGGGGGGTCACACTGCTTTTGGGGTTGAACAAAACTGAAACCAGCCTGACTCATCTATCCCAAAGTGAAACATCCTGAGAGGGAGGAGATTTGGCAGACCTTGTAAAATACCCGGATAAAGGAACAAACAAGTGACACCACTGAGAACTTCTCCAAAGCTGCTGAGCTGGCACAGCCTGGACACACCTGACTGACAGTCCAGCACTTTATACTATAAAAGCTCAGTCACAAATTTTAAGGGCCAGATCTTGTGACATAT